CCCAGGCCAAATTCCTTTTTTTTTTCTTTTTTTTTTTTTGCACAAGGAGGTGGCTCTTAAAAAGCACCGGATGAATGCACCAGTCTTAGCGGGGCGCTGGGTTTTGATACTTGCAGAAAAAAAAAAGCAAGCGCTCAACTGCACACCCAGAAATGTTGGGGGGAGGAAAAATGCAGGCGCTCTCCCCGTCGGGGAATCGAACCCCGGTCTCCCGCGTGACAGGCGGGGATACTTACCACTATACTAACGAGGAGCTGCCTACTGAGCCCGCCGGAATCCGCTTTCAGAGCCAGGCTGGGTGCAAGCATGGCACGGGAACAAAATGCACCGGGGGATCCTTCTGCCAAGCACCTAGCTGCAAATTGCACGTCTGGAGCCACAAAAGCTCTGCCGAAACCCGGGATCGAACCAGGGACCTTTAGATCTTCAGTCTAACGCTCTCCCAACTGAGCTATTTCGGCACAGATACAAGTTGCCTGCAGAGCGCACATACGACTGTGTGGTGCACGCACCCCTGCGTTTCGCTTCTGCTTTCTTGCCGCCGCAGCAGCCCAGGGCTGGCGACTGCACCTTGCCTTCCCTCTCCGGCCCAGGAGCGACCGGGGGGGGCATCCCGGGAGCGGTGCATGCCTCTGCAGTGCAGTGCATGCCCTCTACGACCCTTCGTGCCAGCTCAAGGGTGTGCAAGCCGCTTGCTTTAGACTCCCAGGACTGCCATGCAGCACCCTGCGCCGCACAGCCCGAGTGGAGGCTGAAAGCAGCTTAAACCGGGTCTGACCTGGCTTTCCCCACTCTTCCTCTCTCCCTTGCAGCCTCCAGCATTTCAAGTGTGGCCCAGAGCCTGGCCCCTGACTCCCCTGCTCCAGAGCTGATTCTGGGCATTGTTTCCCCATCCAGTACAGGGGAAATCAAGCCATTCGGGCGAGTTTGGACCCCTTGCAAGCTGGTGTGGGGGTTCCCGGCTCAGTCTAGGTGGAGCAGGGCTGGGGTAGACCCCATAGTTAAACACGGCCGGGGGGGGTTGTCCTGTTTTGTAGAACTACTTCAATGGCAAAAGTCATCGTGAAGTCAAGAGAGCAATAGGAAACGCAGGGAAAGTGGCTAAGAGCTGCTCCGTCAATACCGGACCTCCACTCCTGGCCCCGAGCTAACTTTTAGTATCGGCCCTCTCTTCGCCAGAGAGAAGGATAATAATAATCAGACAACGGGAAAAAATGACCATTTTTGGGCCCCATTCCTGTCCGGGAGCCCATCCCTGCACACGGGTCCGCCCTCCACTGTCTAGTACAAGCTGGTTGTAAGCCATTCCCCTCCTAGAGCTTGACTCTAAAAGCCATAGCCTTGCTCCTGCACAAACCTACACACTTGTTTAATTGTGTGCTTGGGGGTCCAATTCAGAAAAGAAAAGCAGAAAGCGCTGGCTGAACTTCCCCGCCCTTGCCAGCGGGTCCGCAGACACGGAAAGCGTTCGAGTGCAAAGTCAAGGCCACGCACACATCTGCAGAGTTAGCTCACCGAGCATTACTGAGCACCGGTGATTTTTTCTTCTTCCCTCGGTGACTTTACTGGGGGAACCAGCTCTTCATCTGAATAAATAACGACCTCTGGAGTCTTTCCCCTTGTTATATCTGCAGGGCAATCTTGAGGAGCCAGCAGAGTTTGGCATTTTAATAAGTCGCAATGCACTCCTGCGTGCTCTTCTAATCAGTCCCACTAATGAGAAGGCCGAAAAGTTAAATCAGGGCTCAGTAATCGGCTGACAGCAACGCAATTTCCCTGCGACGACGGCTTCTCTGCTTTTGGGGGAGAGGTTTCTCCATCCAAGAGGCTTCCAGCTGTGCTGTACCGCCCAGGCGCAGGCGCGACGTCTCTAACACGTAA